CTTAGTTATCTGATATTCAAGGTTTTTTGTTAACTTAGTGCTAAACTTACTGAACATAAATAGTTTTCTTAGTTATCTAACGTTAAAGGCTCTTTGCTGATCAAATGGAATTGAGATAAAAATCAGTGAGAAATTGAAAACATGTTAATTAAAAATAATGCTAAACATATAAGTATATTCTTTTTAAAAACCTTGACCTATTTAACATTCAGTAAGAAAATGGGAAAAGGTATAGCTTTAAATCAAGAAATTAGTGGATATTCAATTATCATTCAAAATTCAATATTATTAGGAAACTCTTTATCAAGAAGAAACTTTAGAAGTATTAGAGATGGAAATTTGTTAATAATATATTAAAAAGAGGTAACAAAGAGAATTAAGTAAAAGTATATATATAATCGCATTTTTATCTAGAAGTTGAGAATTAGCTGAATTAATTATCTTGTTTTTTAGAATGATTATACTAAGCGAGATTCTCATATAAAAAGAACAAAAATTGATGATTTTTTTTCTGTGTTATCTCATCCCTCTCAGAATAAATAGGATTAACTACTAGGAACTCCTTCCCATAATGCTTTTATATTCACTTAGAATAAAGAGGTAATTATATTCTAGTTCATAATAATATCTTTTATAATCCTTTTTTGGTGTATATAACGCAAAAATGAATTACAATAGAGTGATGACAAGGGATCAAATGGTAAAGAGTTCTTAGATTCTGAGGATTGCTATTCTATTTATAAGCAGGACGATGAACTATCAGAAGAAGTAATGGAAGAATCAGTTCTCTTATTTGATGAGTCATATAAGGATTATTTAGTTAGATCTGTTATTGATAAATTCAGTTTGAAAAAAGAAATTACATTATCTGTTTTAAAAAAAGTTGATGTAAGTTTTTTTGTTACAGTAGAAATTATAATTAATTTTCAGCATGTTAATTCAATAATGTTTAATAGGCTTCAAAGTAAGATGACTTTTGGTAAAGCATCTTTAAGAAATTCAAGAAATATCAGAATAAAATTTTAAGGATACGTCAAATTATAATGTAAGCCTTGTTACTACAATTTTAATTTAATAAAATTACTCATTTTTAAACTCTGCTTGATATTAGTATCTAATAGATTATGTTACTGAGAAGTTTTTGACTTAACGTAGGAAAGCCTTTATAGATGTAAGGAGTTCTTAGTGAAATCAATAAAATCTCACAAGATTTTGCAAACTATATTCACTGGTCTTTGAAACTAACTCCAAACAACCTTAAAAATATTTTGATTCTAATTGCGATTCTGTTAATCTTAAAAATAATGAAGATAATAAAAAATTACACACAAATATTCAATTTATGTAAGGATCAGCTCATCATTATTTATTAATGTATTTTGATATCTAATGAGATTTTTTTTATTAGAATCTTAAATATGAAAAAGGTCAGAGATAAGATGGAGAAAGAACTTAAATTTATTACTATATATCTTTTATTTAATATAATCATATATCCTTCGTTAGTAAAAGATACATGATATATCATTGTATGTTAATTTATAGCAAAATATATAGATTTGTCTATATACACATAAGGAGAGATTTAGTCATATAGCTTGAAAATGAGAAAGCAAATCCTTTTGTCAAAGCTCATATGATGTGTAAAGTTAATATGTTAACAAGGATATCTAATAAATTTAAAGCCTTATACAGAGCGGTCGCAAACAGGCTATATTCATTTAGAATCTCACTTGTATTGCCAAAAAGAAATATTTAGATAAAGTCAAATTTTCAGTATTAATGTGAGATATATTAAATAATACTTTAAAAATTTAAAATATTTAAATGATAAGAAGAGAAAAAAGCTTATATTATACAGTTGGATGCTTGCAGATAGATCATTTTGATAGATATTTTTTTGTAGACCATTTGCCTGAATTTTGCTATATACCTATTTAATATAGAATTAGACTTATTTCTGTATGTAATGGACTAGATTAGAAATGGGATGTATCACTTTGAATTGATAGAAAGTTGTCTTCTTCTATCAAATAAAGAAAATTGTGTTTTATTTGAAAATGTTTTTTGCCTCTTAAAAGAATTAAAGGTATGTATATATTACTTATTATAATCTGCAAATACTCAATTCATCTAGTGTAGAGAAAGTTAACTGAAATAGAAAGCTCATCCAAAAATTACATGTTACAAATACTCATGAAAAGTATAGACAAGTAACTACTAAAAATAGCCTAACCCTTAATCTTAATAGAACTCCTAATTGATTAAAGTTTTCAGCCTTATTTTACTCAATTATTTCTTCTGATTTACCTTTATACTAATAAAA